GCTTAGCAGCTAAGAGCACTGACTGCTGTTCTAGAGGACCTGGGTTCAATTCCCAGCACCCCCATGGCAGCTCCGAATTGCAATTCCAGTTCCAGGGGATCTGACATCCTCACATAGACAGGCATGCAAAGCAGCAATGTACATAAAACAAAAATAAATTATTTTAAAAAGAAATAAGCATAGAGTATAGAACAACGATCTGCCTGATTCTTTCCAGGAGACCCTCCAACCTGCTCTACTGTCATTGTACAAGTGTGTCTACCAAATACAGGTACTTCCCCGGGGGCAGGACAGAAGGGAAAATGGGAGTGGGCTGGCATGTGTCTAATGACATCACCAGTGGGCAGAACACCAATGTTAGCGTACTGTGAGCACAGAACACTGTCAGACTGGGGCGCACGTTCATGAAGTCGGCACACAGTATACAGGTTAGATAAAGAACTCAACATTCTCTGCCAAAAAAGGAAGAGGTAAGCCAGTCAGCATCATTTAATCATTACAAGGAATTTTTGTATGAGTTAAATTACAGAAGAAATCTTTTCACCAGTTTTGAAAACAAACAAAGACACCTTGGAAAGGCTGTCAGTGTTCAGTAAAATAAGATGACTTCCCACTCGGTCTGGTGTCAGTCTGTACTACTAACCTCAGGAGCTGCGTCCTTCACAATCCTCTGGGCTCTGGTGCTAACTACACTGGTAACACTGGCCGTATCATTTTTCTTTCTTTTGATTCTACTTCTCTTACAGAAATCAAGAGCCAGAAGAATGAATCCAGAAGAGTTCAACTAATGAAACCACAGTGACCAGCACTTAAGTGAATTCATTTAATTTGAGGAAAATTACTCGGCTTGAATATTAAATGACTAACAGGAGAAGATCATTCCCAGGAGTAGTTACGAAGTGACTTCAGTGTTTGGTGTCCAGTGTGGAAAGATGAACAGAGTGTCTCCAAGTAAGTTACCCCAGGATGGGCCAGCTCTTCCCACATTAAGGCCAACAGAGTATCCACCCATGCAGATCCACTCAACCCTGCCTTGTATCCAAAGGCAGCCAGACAGCAGCCAAGCAAGGCAGCCTGGCTGCACTCCAAAACAAGTTTACTTATAGACAGGGGAATTCAGATCCCTATACTTTCATGTATCTCAAGTATTTAGCTTTTAAAACCATTAAAACATACAAAACCTAATCACAATTCACTCACAAATGATACAAATGTAGACAGGCAGTTTTTGCCACCGGATTTAACAACTGTGAATCGAATAAGCACACTTTCCTTTCCAATCCACACACTAATATTTTATAGTATTTATACTTTCAAACAAGAAGAACAATCTTCAATTACTGCTTATTAGATAAGGTAAACATGGAGTTATTGAATTACTTAAAGCCAAACAGCTGCCTTAGTTATTTCTAGACCCAACCCTTAACTCCAGAGTGATTTAATTTTATCTTTAAGTCCTAGCTTCTTCTGGGCTCCTCCATCCAGTGGATGCTATGGCTTGAGTATGGGATGTCCTCCACACTCATTCTCCAGCTGGAAGTGCTAAAAAGACAGGTTGTGGAGCCTCTGGGACTAGGGCCAGGCTGGCGTCTCTTGTCTCATCCCAGAACTCTAATGTAGTAAGGAGGCCGCTAGTTAGTTCCCAGCGGCTTAGCCCTGATATAATCACACAGAACTGTATTAATTAAATCACTGGTTGGCCCATTAGCTCTAGCTCACTCTTACACCTTAATTTAACCCATCTCCATTCATCTGTGTATTGCCATGTAGCTGTGTCTTACTGGATAAAGTTCCCAGTGTATGTCTTTGCCGGGGCTACATGGCTTCTGCCCTTCTTTCTCCCAGCATTCCGTGCACTCCTCTCCACCCCACCCTGCTCTGCTATAGGCTCAAAGCAGTTCTTTATTCAGTAAGGGTAAGCACAGCATACACAGGGATATCCCACATCACTCTAAAGATAAGAAATTCTAGAACACGGGGCCAACAAGTCAGACGTACATAGGTATTAGCAGTAATCAAGACTGTAAAGCAAAGACAAACATGCACACCGCTGTATTCAGGAAGGTAGAGAAAAGAAGTACAGAAACTTAACACCACCTACACTCACCGTCATTCACAAGAGAAAGCGGAAGGAAGGAAGGAAGGAAGGAAGGAAGGAAGGACGGACGGACGGACGGATGCCTAAGACATTTACAGGGTAAGATGTAGTGATAGCACATGGTTGATAAAGAGGGAACATGAGCGAGGTAGGATGTTTTATAAAGTGAATCAGGGAACGTAGGACCTTTGTTCTACATGACACCAACTTCCGTTACCTCCATTTAATTACATTTTATGTGTTTTCATGAATTAAGGTATTAGGAATAAAATATAGGTGAAGGAGCTGGAGAGATGGCTCAGTGGTTAAGAGCACTGTCTGCTCTTCCAGAGGTCCTGAGTTCAATTCCCAGCAACCACATGGTGGCTCACAACCATCTGTAATGAGATCTGGCGCCCTCTTCTAGCATGTGGGCACACATGGAGGCAGAATGTTGTATGCATAATAAATAAATCTTTAAAAAAAAATATAGGTGAAACGTTCCTAAACACAACAAAATGTGAGCTCACTGTAAACTGTCAGGAACAATTCAACAATACTGTCCCTGCTGTCACACAGCACAACTAAAAGTCTAACTCATCACAGTAAGACAAGTGTGGGACAAGGGCAATTTATATAAAAAGTAAAGATATAAGTTAAGATTTAAGACAAAACTCAGCAGCGACCAACGAGAAAAAAAAGTAGGCCTAGAAATGTCTCAGTGGGTACAGCATGGAGAAGCTGCTAACCTCAAGCCTAAGCCAGGCATGTTGGCACACACTCATAATCCTAGCATTTAGAAATGTCCTAAAGAAAGAAACAAAATTAAATACCAACCCTACTCTGAAACACAAAGATTTGCTGGAGTTTAGCCTCAGTAATGACCATACAGATAAGATATAAGAAACACTAAGCACAGAAATGAAAGATCTGGTCTAGAAATGGCTCAGAACAAAGGCAGAGGACTTGGGTTCAATCCGCAGCCCCTACATGGTAGAAGGTTGGAACCAGTTCTGGAAGGTTGTCCTTTGACCTCTGCATGTACATCATCATAACATTTACTCCACAGTCACACACACGCAATAAATAAATTAATTAAAGTTTTTGAGCCACGTGTACACAATTTTAAACACAATAACAAAAGAGCAAACTAGCTCACGTGTGCCTTGTGAAGGAAGTTAGGAGAATGACATTCAAGAATTTTACCTCTACTACCGTGACTTAAAAAATGATCAACGGGGCTGGAGAGAAGGCTCAGAGGTTGAGAGCACACTGGCTGCTCTTCCAGAGGGCCCAGGACAGCCAGCAATACACAGAGAAACTTTGTTTCAAAAAACAAACAAACAAACAAACAAACAGATTCTTAAAAGGCCTAAAGTAGATAAGTAGATACTGACTTGATTAAAAGAGCCTCTATCAGAACCACAAACAAGAAATGGAGAATCCATGCCACAAACCAAGAAACTCAGGAGCAAGAAGCTCTGTACTGAGGAGCGGCAGATCCAGCCCAGACTTGCTTGCCGGTGCCTGAGACAACAAAGGAGCATCTGCTGAGGAATTAAAGAGGTCTGGGCATTCTGAAGCTATCCCAACTGAAAACTTGTCAACATGCTAAACAGAAACAAAACCTCATTGCAGTATGTGCTCTAAGAGTGTGAAACAACCTGAGTTGTCCACTGACAGGGAACTGATACTAGTGCAATTGCGTAATTATTATAAAAAAGCAAATGGTATTTTAAAAAATAATACATATAATGGGGCCAGGGAGATGGCTTAGTGGGTAAGCCCACTTGCTGTGCAAGCATGAGGACATGAGTTCGAATCCCCAGCACCCATCTAGACAGCTGGCAGAGACTGCAATCTCTGTGCTAGGGAGGGCAGACAGAGAGGACTGGCTACTGGGGCCTGCTGGCTGCTAGCCTAGCTCTAGGTTTGAGAGGCACTGTTTCAAAGAAATAGGGCAGAAAAAGTAGGACAACCAACATCTTCCGATCATCTTTTCACCTGTGAAGACTTCCAAACCTGCATGTGTACATGCCACACACCACACGTAAACACATCACACAGAAAATAGCCTGAACGCAGGAACGTGTAACAAATCAAACTGTAGACCAGAGTCACTTTCGGGAAGGGGCCATTTACTGTGTGTCTGCAGTCTTGATTCTTTTCTAACAGCATGTTCATGAATTACTAGTGTCACCTAAAAATGCAACATATACATAAAAGAGTTCTGGTTCTAGTCAGAACTAAAATCTGGAGAATCATCAAATATATCTAAGAATTATGTGCTAGCAGGAATGACGAAAATTTATTTTCTCTGATGGTTAAATGCTTCCTGTCATATATCATAACCAGGTCAGCCAAAGTGAAAAGCAATTCACATCTTGTTTCTGAAAGCCTAGGGTATTCACACCGGGTGAGGAAGAATCCTCACAGTTTCCTTGGGAGCAGGCAGGCCTTCGTCAAAGGAAGTGACACCATCTGAATTACTAAACTCAAAGTGACTTACATGAAGGAAACACTGGAGAGCCACAGCCCTCTGAAAACAATGCCTGCTCCCTCCTCTTCCCTCCCCAGCAGACAATGCTGTTGGGGCTGAGGGTGCAGTGCAAGGGAAAAGCTCATGTCTTGCATACACTGAGGCCCAAGGTTCAATCCCCACTACTGACAAAGAATAAAAGTTATCAGAAAAAACTTTTATATAATAAGAAACATGATATGATTCTAATCAGGAGAAAAAAAATCTAATTTTTCCTGTTCCTTCTTAACCCAATACTTCTTTATCAAAAATTAACATTAAAAACTATATAGATGATAATTTCAAATACATATGCATACAGAGTTTATCCCAACTCCCACCCCAAGGGTAAGCTCACCACTGTGTCAGTCAAGCGTGCCCCACACTCTAAGGAGGCGAACTTACTGAAAGTCTTGCAGATGTCCGACACAGCTTTGAAGACTCGGTCAGAGAAGTTCACTTTCACCTTCACGTATTTCATGTTGGGAAGCTGTAGCCGGAGCAGCTTGTGCTGGGGCGTGAACTCAAGCTTGGCGTCTGCCTGGATGCCATACTTATCCAAGGTCCAGTGAGTCTTAAGCAGCCAAGTTCTCTTCTTTTCCCACCAGAGAGCATGGTCAGACCAATCCTTTTTTACATCTATAAACAGCAAACAGTAAACAAACAAAAAAAAGCTTTAAAAAAAAATCACAGACTAGCTGGAGAGAAATTAAAGACAGAAAACAAAACCTGGGTACTTTAAGAAAAACAATAGATACTAGAAAACTAAACTGAGTACTTAAGAAAAACAAGAGACTGTTAGTGACAGGCGCAAAAAGTACAAATGGCGGAGAAAACACTTTCTTTGCTCTCAAAACCCAGTGCACACCAAGCCAATCGGACAAACCTGCACTGTGGAGACAAAGAGTCCTGGGACTGAAATAGGAAAGATTAATAAAAACTGAGTGGTGGATTTGGAATTCAGCTTTGAGGAATGGGTAACAGAATTCCTATAACATACATGAAAACAGTTCATTTCTGAAGCTACACACATGTGAAGGTGGGGCTGGAGAGGCAGCACTTGATGTTCTTACACATGGGCTCCAGGGGAATCTGATGCATCTGGCTTCTGTGGGCACCAGCACTCATGTGTACATATACCCCATACAGCTAAAATAAAATAAAGTCTTAAGAAGAAGAAATAAAAGTAATGTGTTAAGGGCTGGAGAAATGGCTCAGTGGTTGAGAACACTGGTTACTCTTCCAAGGGACCCAGGTTCAATTCCCAGCACCCACATGGCAGCTCACAGCTGTCTAACTCTAGTTCCAGGAGATCTGACACCATATATGCAGGAAAAACACCAATGTACATGAAATAAAAATAAATGTTAATACAGTAAGGGTAGGAACATGGACAGGGAATAAAAGTGAATAAAGGTGACACTCTAGGTGAAGAAAGCGTGGAAAACTCCAAAACAAATGTGAACAGCCTGCAGCCTAAACATACTTCCCCAAAACATCCTGAGGAAGGTAACTCAGAACTGCCAGTTTCTATTGCTGTGACAGAATAAACATCATGACCAAAATTGGCTCAGGGAAGAAAGGGTTTATTCTGACTTAGAACTCTAAGGTCACATTCCATCACTGAGGGAGGTCAAGGCAGGAGCTATAAAGCAGAGGCCATGGAGGAGGGCTGCTGACTGGCCTGCTCCCCATGGCTGGCTTACCCTGCACAAGGGTGGCACTGCCTACAGTGAGCTGGCCCTCCTACATCAACCGTCAATCAAGAAAATACCTTACTACAGGCCAATCAGATGAAGATATTTTCTGAATCAAGATTCCCTATTCTCAGATATGTCTAAGTTTGTGACAAGTTGACAAGAACCAACCAGGACAACAATCACACAGCCTGGGAGCATGAGAAATGGCTCAGTGTTTAAGAGTACTGATTGCCCTTTCAGAGGACCAGGGTTCAATTCCCAGCACTCACATGGCAGCTAACCACTGTTTGTAACTCTAAGATCTGACACTCTCACACAAAGATAAATTCAAAATGTATGTAAAATAATAATAATAATGATAATGATAATGATAATAATAATAATAATAAAAAGCATACGGCCCAAGTTTTTTCTTTGAACATATATATTTCAGTTCAGAAAGCATTAATATCTACTAACTGCTTAAGCAGCTTTAGAAACCAAATACACAGGCTGGAGAGATGGCTCAGTTGTTAAGGGCACTGGTCACTCTTCCAGAGGATCTGAGTTCAATTCCCAGCAACCACATGGTGGCTCACAATCATCATCTGTAATAAGATCTGGTGCCCTTTACTGGCATGCAAGCATACATGCAGGCAGAGCACTGTATACATAATAAATAAATCTAAAAAAAAAAAAGGAAAGGAAAGAAACCAAATACGTGATACTTGGCTACAATCAGATAAGTAACAGTAAACCTGTAACAGGAAGATGCAACCGAACTTCAGCTGGTGTTTATAGTACTATCTAAAGAAAAGTCTTTCCGGACCAACCGTATATTAAGCTTACTATGTGGCAAAAAAAAGAGAGACATGACTTTAAAAAGCAAGAAAAAAAGCAAACAAGTGTTCTAGAGGAATAAAGGGCCAAACCAAAGAGAACTCAGCACCACCAACCTCAAAGAAACTGATATGAACATCCTTAAAATAAAAATGGCTGAGACACTCGGAAAAGTGCTAGCAACCAGCAGGACTGACATAAAGGGGAGGACACAGTGCCGTGGCCCAGCTCCCAACTCCCTGCTAAGGATCCAGCCATACTTTATAGCAGTGGAGACACAGTCTCTTTTATATGACAGTTGATGAATGGTATCTTATTCAAAGCAAAGATGATTCTCCAAGTTATTTCCCCATCAAACTATCAATCTCATTATTTATTTATTTTCTTGTTTTTATATCCTAACCAAAGCTTCCTCTCCCTTCCCTCTTTTTCAGTGTCCCCTCCTCGTCAACTGAATTTAATAAAAAAGGTTTTTTCAATATTTGTTTTGCACCGGGATAGTCCAGTCAATCACGGCGCTGGGAGCTCACCTGCAAACACACGGGGAACTGTTATACATGTTGGGTTCACGTCTTATTTTCCAGCACAAAATCTGACAACTTTTGGAAGTACCAAGTTCTTAACTAGCTTAGAGCAGACAGGCTTTTTTATATATAAAGAGTCTGGTCACGCATGCTTCTTTTCTCTTTCTGAACAGAGACTATGCTAATCAGGGGAAGCTGAGCTGAGCCGGTTTATCTGTGGTTAGATATGCAATCCTTCCTCCCCACACCTCTACCCAGGCACGTCTGTAAAGATGCCTGTGACAATATCATTAAGGAAATAAAGTCAGATATTTCCAGCAAGCAAAAGAAAGAAGGGAAGGCTGGTAATAACACTCATCCTGAGGCTGAAGTAAAGAATCATTAAGGGCACTTGTTGCTTTTTTGCAGAGGACCTGAGTTTGATTCCCAGCACTCACAGGACAGCTCACAGAGATCTGTAACTCCAATTCCAGGGGATCTACTGCCCTCTTCTGGCCTCCTTGTGTACCAGGAATGCCCATGGTGTACACACATACACATGCAAGCAAACATGTAGATAGAATATTGTATACATAATAAATAAATAAATATTTTTTAAAAAATAAAATAAATAACTACTAATTAATTTTTAAAAGGCACTCTAATTCCAAAAATCCAGAAGATTTGGGTTCCTCCAGAGGTGATTTACTTATGGAATAGGGGAGGGCCCACTGCAGAGAAGGAGTGAAGCAGTTGCGGGGGTTCGGGAGGGGGGGTTAGGGGGGAAAAAAACGGCCAGTAAGTTGGCTGACTAACCAGTGTGGACAACTGCAGTCCATTCCTTCTGAGAACTAACCCGGGCTTGGTATTTCTCCACTTGCTAGGTTAAACATTGTTCTGGGGTCATTCAATGCCTTCCTGGCTACCTCTCCAGTGGCCTAGGGCCGTGCACTCCACAGGCACAGCAAGTCCAGAAATCTCTGTGCTTTAGCAAAAGAAGTTGCTGGCATGTCAGGAATCTGTCCACACAGCTGACAGTGAACTGGGAGTGGGAGTCGCTCCTCAGCACCTGCTACCAGCCTGAAATAAATGCTGAGTGATATGAAGTGCAGCTGCCTGACAGGGTAGCAAGGCAGAAGCGGTGCTTTCAGCTATAACAAAGGACAAACTCAAACAATGTCAAATGTGGTCCCGAGGAAGTGCTTAAGAGCGAGCGTGGCCTGAGGGGGAGCAATCTGAAATAGAAGCTACACACACATTTAGACTGATAGGCAACTCGCTCCAGACCACAAAAGTTACGAGTGGTCAGAAAGTACACTTTTGAAGTAAGAAACACCCCACTTAAGATGTAAAGCTAAAGGTGGTGAACTATGGATGGCTGAGGGACCAAATGCACCAACTACTGGCTCTTTTGTGTCCCCAGGAGCTAAGAATGGGTTCCAGTGTCCATAAGCACAGGGCCACACTCACCTGTTCAGATACAATGACAGCATCTGCCTTCAACATCAATGTCATCCTGACAGACAAGCTGTGGCCCTCCAGATCTGAAGGACAGTGCTGTCTGGACTGTCTGTGAGCTCTTCACATAAGCAGTGTTAGAGTAAACTTCATCAGATAAGAATACACTGAAATCTCTTCTGCTCCCTCCCCATGGACTATACCCTGAAACTGAGAGTTAGAATAAAGCTACCCTCCTTTTAAAAAAGAAAGAAACCCACTTCCACAAAACCCTCAACTCTCCATCAGCTGGTCTTCAGACTGGGTCCAGGGCACAAACACTCTCTGATGCCCATTTTCCTTGTTTCCCCGTTCCCCATCAGATACACAGTGCATCATTACAAAGGTCTGAGAGAGGCTCAGCTCACACTGGAACATGGAAATGAACGGAACGGGCCTGTTTATAGATCACAAGTTGACATGCTGACCTGGCTCTTCCATGAGGGAGCAGCCTGCCAGCACCCAGCAAGGATAAACATAGACAAGGACAACAAATAATACAAGGACGGGATCTCCTGTGTGGGAGCTATTCACCCACCTTACGATAGACACTCTTACCTATGGCAAGGCAGGCGGGACCGATGTGCTCTATCCACAAGAAAAGGACCTAAACTGGGTGGTAGTGGCGAACGCCTTTAATCCCAGCACTCGGGAGGCAGAGGCAGGCAGATCTCTGTGAGTTCGAGACCAGCCTGGTCTACAAGAGCTAGTTCCAGGACTGGTTCCAAAGCTACAGAGAAATCCTGTCTTGAAACGCCCCCCCCCCAAAAAAAAAAAAAGAAAAGAAAGAAATAAAAAGGACCTGATCTTAGGGGGGGAGGGCATATGTAGTGCACCTAATCTCAGTCCTGTGGTGGGAGAAACAGACATATGGCTGGAGCTCCCTGGCTAGCCAGTCTAGTTAGAGTCAGTGAACTTCCGGTTCAGTGAGAAACTATCCCCAAGAACAAGGTGAAGAGTGATGGAGGTCAAGAGTGGTGGTGCACACATTTAATTCTGGGACTTGGAAGACAGAGGCAGGAAATCTACACAGAGAATTCCATCCCAGAGTAGCTAGGGCTACATAGAGAGACTGTCTTAGTTTGGGTTACTATTGCTATGATGAAACACCATGACCAAA